ATGCCATCACACACCATGGGACTCACCATCTCCTGGAGGAGCTGCTGTTGTATGCTAGCCTGCTCTTGTATAAACTCCTGCAGGATCTTCTGCTGCTCAGCTTGCCAGCTAAGCAAGGCCTGCCTCTCCAGCTGGTGGGACTGCTGAAAGGTTTGCATAGCGTTTTGTACCACTTCCTGCTGTTTTACCAGCCATTGCAAGGTCTCCTCCACCTCCGGGCTGCCAAACTCTTGCTCTGGCACAAGATCCCAGAGAGGGTGCTGCAGGGCACTCTTGGCTCCTGCCCCAGCTGTGCTGACAAAGTCACTTGGAGACCCTGGGGTTTAATAACCACTGGTGCCATTTATTTATGGGTTGGGCTCCCACCACCCTTTTTACCATACACAGCTTGAGTTCTTGTGTCTGCACCCAGGAGGGAAGAGCTGTCACTCAGCTGCTGCTCCCTTGCTCCCTCCCTTGGCTTCCTTCCTCCAGCCTTTTATATAGCCCTGGGCTAACTGGGCGGGCAGCTGTCTCCCAGTTCCCAATTAGGCGGAGGTTTTCTCTAGCTAGCTCCAATTTCCTTCCCTTAATGGGAGCTGGCGTGACAGAGCGCTGAGTCAGCGGTTCTTGCTCAGCACCCTGTCACAAGAACATAGGAGAGCAGTGCAGGATCTGTCCCTTCTCACAAAGATGACAGGGTGCACAGCAAAAAAGCACCATTGAAAAAGGCCATGAAAGGAAGCCAGAAGCCCATGGAGTGCTGGGACAGAAAGCAATGCATCATGGAGCATTGAGCCTGGTTCCAAGATGCACCATCATCCGCTCTGCCTTCCCGCAACCCCTACTGACAGAAGGTGTTGAGCTGGACTGTGGGATAGGTACCAACAGTGCATTGCTCACACTGTTGATGATAGTTCTCCAACTGTGGACGCACTTTACTGACAGAGGGAGCAAATGTGAACATGACATTCTGGTTTTTATTTTTCTGATTTTTGAGTGTCGACAAAACTTTGTAGTATAGACAAGGCCTTAATTCCGGCCTTTTCAACCAGTTTTGTACCGGACATGGAATTTGTGCTGCCGCAGAATTTCAGTGGTGTTTTAGAGACAGTCCACTACATCAGTGTGGGCAGCCACAAACCATGACACACAATGTTGAGGACTACAAAATGACTCTGCTTCCTAGAGGTCTTCATGCCTTGAACATTGTTGATAAGAACACAGTTGGCTTGGCTTGACCGAACTGCATATGGGAAATAAATAAATAGTTCTTGAAGGTTTATATGGACAAAGTTAAAGATGAACAGGTGACAGAAACTGGTTCATAGTGAACAGTCTTTTATTATGTGGTGGTGGGAAATTAGCTGGATAGCTTAATTATGATTGGAAAGTTTAAAAATGTTTTGGGTGAAATCCTAACCCTACTGAAATCAATAGCAAAACTCTCATTGACTTCAACAGGGCCAGGATTTCACCTTTGCTCGGGTTAGGCTGTAGTAAGTGCCCTTCAGCCTTCACTGAAGTGTGCCTGTCTTTTCTGTATGTCTGTCCATAATAGATTGAACTACAGAACATCCTGGAACTCTTTCAAACTTTGAAGCTTATACATATTCCTTTAAGTCACCATAGTGGTGGGAGCTTTTTCCAGGGAGTGACAGAAGTGCAATTGTGAGAAGGAACTAAATGTCAAAGGCTAAGTGGAAAAAAATCTAAACTTAAAAGCAATTGAAAATCTATAAATCCTATTTATAACACTGGAAGTGCCTAAAGCTTTTAAATTGAGATTCTCCCTTGGATATTAGCCCAATATATCCAAAAGAACATTAGGACACTTGATAATCTGAAAGCACAAACTGCACAGAGTTTATTCCAGGCACTGATGTTTACAAAAATGAGGAAGAGTCAGAGGAAACTTTACCTAACATATGAACAAAACCTGAAAATGTTTAAAAATTAAGTGCATGTTTACGGCAAAAGACCCACATTATCCTCTCATGTGACTGCATGATGATCATATTCACCAGACCTAGATAGATCTCTGGATATTTTCTTCATGGTCACAGTGACCTTCAGCTACTGTGGTCAGTGGCAAATTAAAGCAAAAAGCCAGTATTTGTATTTACTTTGGTGTGTTGGGATTAATCCATGTTTACATATCTGAGTCATTCGAGTTACAATTTTTCACTGGATAAGTGCTGAAATCCCCAAAGGGCAGGATGTTGCCTGACCCCTTATAATAGTTGTTAATAATTGTATTGATTGCCAGTTGATCAGAAGGTAATAAGGTTCTTTTCCCAGAATTAAGTTTTCAGGGACCATCAAGGTGTGTGCAGGGGAGCCATTTCAGATTGCGAGGGGGGTGGGGGTAGGACTTTAACCATGATTCCAAAGGCTACTTAGGCACCTGAAAACTTTCTTGTTTTTTTTGCAGATTACTTAGCTACAGTGCTCCTATCAGATAATAATTTCTAATTCCTATATAAAAATAGAAAATTAAATAAATATTAGACCCACTCAGCTCTAATACTTGTTCTGACATCTTGTGTCAATTCACTTAAGGGACACTAGTTAGTTTTAAAAAATTAATGTATATTCTTACTAACTCTTGAACACAGCAATTGAAACAATTGTAGAAAAACCTAGATTACTTGCTATCACTTTTTTTCAGTTCATCAAGCTTGGAATAGATCATTTAACTTTTGGAAACACCCTATTAGGGCAAGGCCTGTGGTTTATACTGCACCTGCCTGGGGCTCTGTATGACCTCAGGTAGGTGTTACCCTACTACAAATAATAGACTACAACATGACTTTAAACAGGAGTGAAACTGACACTTTCAAATCACTTTCACAGTATTGCCAAAGCCAAATATTCAAAAATCAAGAATCAGGCTCACTAAAAATCATGAGATTGGCTTTAAAATAATGAGATTATGTAAAAATAATAGATTAGGTGTTCTTTTTATTTACATTCTGCTTTTTGAGCCTTGAGGGTGCACTGGGGTCACAATTAGAAGCTTTCTCCACAGCCACAAGGGCTAGAAACTTCCATTTTTCTGTAAGAATGAAGGCTGAAATCATCACATATCACTTGACTCCAGGACCTGGGGCTTTAAAGAAAACAATAATTATCATGAGACTCATGAGAAAATCATGAGAGTTGGCAACACTGCACTTCTGTCGAAAGGCGAATTACTTTCCAGAAGGCTTTTAAACACAACACTCCAGTGATTGAGTTGCAGTTTTAACAGGCGAATATTTTAAATCAAACACCAAGAAAATTCAATGTTTTAAAGTTGGGGAAGAAATTAAGACTTCTGAGGTATATCAGGGCCACTGCAGACAGGAAAGGAAAATAAACAGGCACAGGAGCTCTGGGCAACTCTTCCTCTTGAAAGAAAGTTGGAGGGTCAAATCTTCTAGTTCTTAATCAAGTAAAACTTAATTGCCATCAGCGCCTCCATTCATAGATATAAACATCACAGTGAACATGTGATAACATGTGTGGTCAATAACTATACACTTCATATTTAAATATCTGAGCCATCTTATCAAGAGTTACACATCTTATATGCATTGGCTCAGGGACTACATTTTCTAGCATATTCTGAACAGTGCTGAGCACATAGGTCATGCCCAGTGAATAACACAAATCATGACAATAATGGTCAACTTTATTGACTCTGTGGATGCAATTTCTGTTCTTTGTCCTGGAATTGGCCTGAATACAGCTGAAACCCTAAGAATTTGCTGTATAATCACATCTGATACTCATACGACGCTTTCTCATTCCTTCCTCTTCTCAAATTCAGGACAAAAAATGACAAAACAAAATGGTTTTCAGTTAAAATCTAAAGTTGCACAGCAGGCATTCCTCTGCAGCCCAGCCTGGGACAGAGCCTGCCACTTATTGGTGGTGAAGTGCTCTCTGCTCATTAGACTCTCATTCTCTTTTCTTTCTTCATCCTTCCTGACCTCTGTGCTGCTTTTGATACTGTCAACCATGACATTGTTCTCAATCATTTGGGACCGTGTGCTGAAGTCTCAGAGAACTGGCTTGCTTGGTTTTGCTCCCATCCATCAAAGGCCACTCTTTTGTAGCAGTTAGCAGAGAGAAAAGCTGGTCCAGTGGATAGGGAACTAGTCCTGAGAGACCTGCGTTCTATTTCCCCCCCGCAATATGGACTTCCTGTATGACCTCAGGTCAGTGCCTTAAGGACAGAGTGTCAAAGGTTTTTAGGCACCCAAAGATGTAGCTAGGCATCTAGTGGGTTTTTTATAAAGCACCTAACCTTCTAGGCATTTTTGAAAATCCCACTAGGTGCCTAAATACCTTTGAAAATCTGTCTGTTAGTCTCTCTGTGCCCCAGTTCCCCATCTGTACAGTGGAGATAACAGCACTGCTCTACCTCACCCGGGGCTGTGATGTGAGGCACTCAGATACTATGATGATGGGGCCACATAAGTACCAGAGGTAGGGTGGGAACTTCTGTATACCACAGCTATCCCTTCCCTGGGTTTTGGCCCCTTCTTTTCACTTCTGCCACTCATATCTTCCTCTTTTCTGAATGTAGCATTGGCTCAGAAGGCTTGCCTGTATTTGTTCTGAGTCCCCTGTATTCTCTCTTCAACCCCCCCCGCCCCACCCCCCCGCCCCATCGAGGTATTCCTGTTTTACAGGTTCAGCCAAGGACTTCCAGATCCTTGATTTCATTACCAGTTTTTTCTTAGCTTAATCACCCTGCCTCTATTTGTAAACAAAACACTGACTTCCTGCCCCAGGGACACAAGCTGGGAAAAGCACCTCTCTGCAGTACTCACATTCCACACTCATGCTGAGCAGGTCAGAGCTCCGCCTGGGAGCACACCTCCTCCATGAAACTCCACGTGGGAGGGCAGCCCCCCTCTGCCCTATCTAACTGGCACCCTTGGGTGTGTGGCAAGGACAGTCACACGGAGGACAAAGTACAGCCTTAGAGATTTTTATTAAAACAAAGAATAAAGCCAGAAAAGCTCTGAGCCACATAAAAAGACAGGAGTAGTCCAGTATTGGGGATATCTGTGGTATCATTCTTTGCACAAGCTCTTAAATCTGCATACTTACACCCTTCCTTGAGGACCCAGTGGTAAGAGTCAAAGGGCTCTGGCTTGCCAAATGAGTCCGATGGTCCAGGTTCTTCAATGTCCAAGATTGATGGTAGATCTGAAAGGTCAAATGATGGAAAAACTAACAATGATGGAAAGCAGCTCTAAGCTAAAACTAAAAATTAACTCTCCACATGGTGATTTGCCCTATCATAGGCCCTGAGCACCATCATGAATATTAATGCTAATACTCAGCCTTCCGTGCCCAAATCTAATTTCCTCACCCACATAATATTGAGGTGTACTTATTCTATAGGTTAACATATTAATAAATATTAATGCCACTTAGCTCATTCATATCCATCACTTCTTGCTTAAACCAGTTTATAGTTATTCCATGTTCCTGTGGTTGCTGTTTACCACTAAGTTCTGACTCCTGCCATTAAGCAAGCTACTTTGAATTCCCCAAAAGCTAAGGGTAACTGTCAGATTATTTATCTATGCCAAAGGTTACAGGCCTACTATACTTGACTATAGTCATGCTAACTTCCTTAAGCTAAAAGAAAAGGAGTACTTGTGGCACCTTAGAGTCGAACAAAGTCTAATGTCTTACAGGATACAGGCCTGTAGGCTCCTTGAATTACAGCCGAATATAATAAAGGCTAAACTAGTCCTTTGGACTACAAGGAAGCTGCTCTGCTAATAGTACATGACTTTAGAATTCCCCCCACTCAAGGTGAAACAGTGGAAATCTCTGGTTTATTTCCAGTTGGCATGACACATTTTTATTTCTATTGTAGACAGGAGAGGTTTGTGTGTGTGTGTGTGTGTGTGTGCGCGCGCACATGCGGGGGAATTTATATTTTGTTCAGTCCTTCGAGATCTTTGGGCACTGGGTGCCCATATATTAAAACTTAATAATAATAATACATTTTCTTGTAGAACATTAATATTCCTCTAAGATCTTAAGCCATTTCTGCTGGCCTCTGATGCATCTACATCATACCTAATTTTTGAACTGCATGTACATAGCAGTGTATGAAGTAAATATTCCTCCAAGTAAATTAGGTCTGAAGATGTCAACTGTTAATCGGTAGTATGAACCAATGCAAGAGGAGGGTTCTAAACAGAAACTCTGTAGTGAGACAGGAGAGAGAGAGAGTGAGCATATAGCTAAGTTTTTTGATCAGCGTGAGGAGATTCTTTCCCACTGTCACGTTAATGTCTCTGAACTGATGACTATTTCCATGTGACTTACGTGTGAAAACGGTTGAAGTAGATGAGAACAGAAAGAGGAACTCACTAAATGTGGTGGCTGTCATAACAGTTGTATGAGAACGTAGCATTGTGGTGACCCTCGGGCCGTGAGATGAAGTGTATCTGTTGGACTACAAGCCGTCAGGAACAGTATCCCCGATAATGTCGAGGCAAATCTGGTAGCTGAACTTTGTGACTTTGTCCTCACGCATAACTATTTCACATTTGGGGACAATGTATACCTTCAAATCAGCGGCACTGTTATGGGTACCCACATGGCCCCACAGTATGCCAACATTTTTATGGCTGACTTAGAACAACGCTTCCTCAGCTCTCGTCCCCTAATGCCCCTACTCTACTTGCGCTACACTGATGACATCTTCATCATCTGGACCCATGGAAAAGAAGGCCTTGAGGAATTCCACCATGATTTCAACAATTTCCATCCCACCATCAACCTCAGCCTGGACCAGTCCACACAAGAGATCCACTTCCTGGACACTATGGTGCTAATAAGCAATGGTCACATAAACACCACCCTATACCAGAAACCTACTGACCGCTATTCCTACCTACATGCCTCCAGCTTTCATCCAGACCACACCACACGATTCATTGTCTACAGCCAAGCTCTACGATACAACCGCATTTGCTCCAACCCCTCAGACAGAGACAAACACCTAAAAGATCTCTATCAAGGATTCTTACAACTACAATACCCACCTACTGAAGTGAAGAAACAGATTGACAGAGCCAGAAGAGTACCCAGAAGTCACCTACTACAGGACAGGCCCAACAAAGAAAATAACAGAATGCCACTAGCCATCACCTTCAGCCCCCAACTAAAACCTCTCCAACGCATCATCAAGGATCTACAACCTATCCTGAAGGACGACCCATCACTCTCACAGATCTTGGGAGACAGGCCACTCCTTGCTTACAAACAGCCCCCCAACCTGAAGCAAATACTCACCAGCAACCACACACCACACAACAGAACCACTAACCCAGGAACCTATCCTTGCAACAAAGCCCGTTGCCACGTATGAATGGTACTGAGTGGCCCAGTTAAACTGACCTAATCCTGGTGTCAACAGCGCTACATTAATGGGAGAATGTAGTGGGACAGCTGCTCCACTTCCGCAGAATAGGGGTTAAAAGCAGCCCTCGAGAGGGCTGCAGCTGGGAAAAGGAGTGAAAGCAGCTGAGGGAGTAGCGGACTACAGGTGTGGCCAGCCCAATCAGGCCACCGCTGACTCTATAAAGGGGCTGTGAGCCAGGAGTTGAAAAAGTCTCACTCTAGCCCTGGAGTATGAAGGGCTAGCTGCCTGGAAGCAAGGTCTCTGAAGCAGTGCAGTGGCAAAGGGAGCTCCACCTGGAAAACCCCCAGGCTATAGGCCTTGTTAAAGGCCCAAAGAGGTACTGGGGCTGCAGAGATGTAGCCCGGGGATAGGCAAAGGCAGCAGGTCCTAACCCCTTGCCAATGATGAGTGGCCATTACAGACTGCAGTCTGCCCCAGTGAGTGGGGGCTAGATGATGACTGGCAGTAGTCACTGAGGCAAGGTGGGTTTAGAGGATTGGGGGTTCCCCTGGGAGGGGAAACCCAAAGTAAGGAGGTATTGCTGGGGCAGAATCCTGAGATAAAGGGCACCAGGGTCTAGGAGGGACACTGGGCCAGCGGCAGGTGAGACACCAGCCTGCAGAGGGCGCTCCATATGCTGGAGAGCTAATTCCCAAGACGACCAGCAGGAGGCGCCGCAGCAGTGAGTCTCAATCACTACAGAGAATTCTCCTGTCAATCCAAGCCAAGCCAAATTTATATTCCAAGGAAAGGGAAAAACAATTAGTTATTTTTATCTTGTATAGTCATACTTTGAACAATTCCTAGAGAATGCTAGAATCCAGGGATTTAAATATAGATTTTTATTAAGTATTCTTGGAACAACAGCACAGCAAGAATACTTAACAAGCTGCTGTTACACAGTTAGGTGAACAAAGACTCCGTCAGTGAAAGCAGCCTTTTAAATAGTCTTTTAACTCCTTCTCTCCATGTAGGCCTGTACACTTTACACAGATTCATTCCAGTCATCACTTTGCAGGCTTCAGGTCCCAGAAAATATCACCACCACCAATCATGCATAGTCTATTGAAGACCTTTGTGCCAGGCAAAGTGACCATTCTTTGTGGTATCGCACTAGGCATCTTGTTGTGGAGTTCCCAGATCTGGTTCAATCCTGTGAATCCACAAATCTCCGGAGCTTGGATATTGAGTGCAACTACACCTATATTCCCCCTTAGTGAGTGCCATTGGTGGACCATAATCAGACTCATGGCTCCTCTGTTGGGTGGAGACATGCAACTCTTCCCTTCTGACCAGGTTATTTCCAGGCTGCACAATTGCCTGCTTCCACTGTGAATTCCCCAGCGTATCACACTGCCTGAGTACGTCTGCTTTTGCTTTTCCCCTCAGAGGCTATAAATTGCGTATTGCCCACAATTATAAAGTACCACCCAACTTTTCCTAAGCAAGCACATTTATTCTTAAGATGAAAGCATAACAGAGAAAATATTAAAAGCAATAAAAGAACTTACATATATGTTAATAAGCTTAGCAAAGATCACCCATCACCAAGAAGGGCTGTGGTAGGAGTCAGTCCTTCAGCTCCACCAAGTGTTTTTTTCTATAGTAATGAATTGATACCAGCTGTTAACTCAGAACAAGCGCACTCTATGAATCCGAGGGACATTCCTTTATACAGTTTAGGACTCTGGTCTTGTCCTCATGTAACAGGTGATCGTCAGACAAAGGTTCCCTCTTCAGTTTGAAGCTTCAAAAGGTTGAGTTCTTGCATACCTGGAAGGTGTATATTTGCATACACCTCCCCCAGAGCAGGGGTGGCCAGCCTGAGAAGGAGCCAGAATTTACCAATGTACATTGCCAAAGAGCCACAGTAATACGTCAGCAGCCCCCATCAGCTTCCCCGCCCCCAGCGCCTCCCATCCACCAGCAGCCCTGCTGATCAGTGCCTCCCCGCACCTCCCAATCAGCTGTTTTGTGGCATGCGGGAGGTTCTGGGAAAGAGGGGGAGGAGCGAGGGCATGGCAGGCTCGGGGGATAGGGCGGGAAGGGGTGGAGTGGGGGCAGAGCCTGTGGCAGAGGTAAGGGTGGGGCAGTGAGCACCCCCTGGCACATTGGAAAGTTTGTGCCTGTAGCTCCAGCCCCAAAGTCGGTGCCTATACAAGGAGCCACATACTAACTTCTGAAGAGCCGCATGTGGCTCCGGAGCCACAGGTCGGCCATCCCCGCCCTAGAGATTTCCTGGAAATCCACTTAACTTTAAATGTTTATTTTTGTCTGGCACATTGTTTAAAAGAGTCCTTTGAAGCTCATAGTACTTACCAGCATTTATATTAGAAACAAACAGTACATACAATCCCACAATAATACTTAAACATTTGCATTTTAATACAACGAATTTCTAAGATACTTAAAATCAATTTAATAGGTTTTAACTTAATTCAGTAGTGTTTGTCCAGGATATTGCCATATCTGTCACAGGGATAACAAACTTACTTCCACTCTTTTTGCTGTGAAATATTATTTAACTCCTCTCAGATATTTTCTGCCTGCCTGCATGGCAGGGCTAAATTCTGGGAAGATTCTTCTTCCTTTATAGGCTGTTTTTTTTTTCTTTTTTAATACATTCACAGCTATCCTTACGCACAGAAAGGAGATGATTGAAGTTCCTCCTAAAATTTTATTTCTTCTTGGTACCTCTGAAGGACCTAGTACAGTGGTTCTCAACCAGGGGTACACATACCCCTGGGAGTTTGCAGAAGTCTTCTATCAACTCATCTAGATATGTGCCTAGTTTTACAAACTGCATAAAAAGCACTAGCAAAGTCAGTACAAACTAAAATTTCATACAGACAATGACCTATTTATACTGCTCTATATACTATACACTGAACTGTAAGCACCAGTATTTATATGGTAAAAATGAGAAAGTAAGACAGCAATAGTGTGCTGTCACACTTTTGTATTTTTGTCTGATTTTGTAAGCAAGTTGTTTTTAAGTGAGGTGAAAATTGGGGGGTAACCAAGACAAATCAGATTCCTGAAAGGGGTACAGTAGTCTGAAGAGGTTGAGAGCCACTGACCTAGTCGATTTCCCACCTCCACCAGAGCAAATAGTATTTATATTAATCTTAAATAATTTAGGCAGAAGCTTTTCCTAAAATTCTGCATCATCTGGATTTTTCATTCGTGTTGGAATCTCACACCCCAAATACATATCTCCTGGGAGAGTTATTGTTTTTTTTAAAAGAAACACTTCTCTGCAGTGTATTGCATTTAATCAGGTCTCTATTCTGAGTAGAACTAAGTGACGTTTTTGAACAAAAGTTTTTCAGCAAAAAAAATGGAAATTCGGCAACACTGAAACATTTCACAAATTTCTGTTGATTTTGCTGAAATGCTTGGAAAGCCTCACCAAAAAAACAAAAAAAACAAAAAAAACCTAACAATGAAAATGTTTCATTTTGACTTTTAGAAAGGAAATACTTTGATTTTTTTTTATTTGAAACTTTTTTGAAATTTCCTTCAGCTATACCTGGCTTTCAGAACAGCTGCCCACTGTCACTCATCAAATCTGGGCAGCACACATACTTCTCTAACCCATTGCTGGGTGAGGAATGAGCCCTTGCTCATCCCAGTACAGAAGAGACACAAAGCTGGCAAAATGCTAACTTCGCCCTGTCCTTCACTTTTCTCCCTGATTGTTAAGTCTCAAGCTAGGTTCCCTGTCAGCTGCGTGGCCACATAGGTCCCCCGGCCTGACCCAGACCAGCCCTTCCGGAGCTGTCGGGGAGCGGAGCCCCTTGCTCGGCCCAGCCTAGTCCAGCCAGAACTGTCACAGGCAGGGAGAGCCCCCCCCCCCCAGGCCAGGTGCTGCTTGTGGGGAGAGAAAGCTGGGAGGAGTCCTCTCTCCCTGCCTTAGCCCCAGGGCAGCCTGCACCCCCAAATCCCTCATCCCTTGCCCCACACCAGAGCCCCCTGCGCTCCAACCCTCATCCCCAGCCCTGAGCCTTCTCCTGCACCCCAATCCCCTCATCCCTGACCCCAGTCAGAGCCCTCATGCCCCACATACCCTAACCCTCTGCCCTAGCCCTGAGCTCCCTCCCAAACCCCTCACCTACAGCCCCACCCCAGAGCCCATACCCCCTGCACTCCAACCCTCAGCCCGAGTCCTGAGCTCCCTCCCACATCCTCATCCCAGAGCCCGCACCCCCAGCCAGAGCCCTCCCCCCCCCGCACCCAAACCCTCTGCCCCAGCCCTGAGCCCCCTCCCACATTCCGAACCCCTCAGCCCTATGCTGCCACATGAATTTTGTTATATGCCACACATCACCTCCATATTGATGCACATAACAAAATTAATTCTGCACATGGGTGGGAAAAATTAGAGAGAACCCTGGTCAAATCAAGCTCAGCTTTGGCACAGAGATGAACTCGGTCCTGAAAGCTTAGCATTCAGAGGAAGCAGATGTGATGCAACCCTATGGAGTGAGGGTTGAAGGAGACTCTTGCTGATCTTCAGTGATGGGGCAGGCTCCTTAGAAATTTGGGGCTTCTGACTCTGCCACTACTTGGAAAATTATTGCTAACTTGTCTGGCAAAGGCCTTCCATCTCTCCTATTTAAGTCTGAATTTGCATATTGGGAGCTCATGGAAGGAGGAACTTCTTTAATAAAAAGACCAGGCTGTTCTGTTATGCTGGAAAGAATGAGTGAAAGAGGGGGTTTGGGGGGAGGGAGAGAAGTATGGAATGGAAATTGGGAGAAACAAAGAAAGGGGAAGAGAAAAGAAAGAGGCAAAACCAGACAAGAATAGGGATGAAATAGATGCAAAAATAAAGGGAATGGGGTAAGAAAAAGAGTAGGTGAATAATGATATTTAAAGGGGGGAGGCAGCAGATATCAAGGGTTAAGGGTTCCCAAAACCACTGTAATTTTAGCACACAAATATCTCAAGTGAACCAATGTGTTCCAATCATCATCTTCCATGACACAGAGAGAGGCCTCTGCCATCTTCCCCTCAAACACACACAACCCTTCACAGCCATTAGACATGTTAGACAATTTGAATTTCACAATTTGAAAGCTGGATTTCTTTTGTCTGCTGATTGGTTGTTTGTTTGCTCTTTCTCATTCCCTGTACTCCTGGCTTCTTTCTCCCTACCATTCAGTCTACTCTCCCTCCTTTGTTTACCTCCCACTTTACAATCCTTCCATAGCCAGCCTCACTCTCCCCGTTCTTTCCTTTCCCCATCTTCCCTTTTCTTCCTTCCTTAATGTCTCTCTTAATCATACTTCCTCCCAGTCCCTTCCTCTTCTTTACTCCTACTTCCTGCCATTCCCCTCATTCCATTCTTAGATTCATAGATTCATAGATAGATTCATAGATATTTAGGCCAGAAGGGACCATTATGATCATCTAGTCTGACCTCCTCCACCAGGCCCAGAATTTCACCCACCACTCCTAAAAGACCTCACCCTATATCTGTGCTATTGAGTCCTCAAATTGTAGTTTGAGACCTCAAGGAGCGAGAATCCTCCAGCAAGTGACCCGTCCCCATCTACAGAGGAGGCGAAAACCTCCAGGGCCTTCCAATCTCCCTGGAGGAAATTCCTTCCCGACCCCAAATTGCGATCACTAAACCCTGAGCTATGGGCAGATTCATCACCAGATACTACAGAAAATTCTTTCCCAGTTACTTATCTTACCCCATCTAAACCCATCACACCATTGCCTTACACCCATTCCTAATAATTCCTGGTCCCGTAATAGAAAAAAGAAGTTGATAAATAAAAGAGAAGTGAAACTCACCAGACCATGACTTGCTCCCATCTTTGCCCTGACCTTCATGCTTGGAAACTTCACCCCTTCTCCACCTTGTCTTTTTAGAAGGTAAGCTGTTCAGGGCAGGGATGGTCTTTCACCCTGTGCTTGTACAGCATGCTGTGCTAGGAGATCTTGTTCCTGCCTGAGGCCTCCGGGCACTATGGCACTGTCAATAATAATTAATGAAGCGCTGTGCGTACGGAAGAGGCAGGTGGGTTGACGACATGAATTGACATTTGGGAACATATATGTCTGTTCATAAAAGGCTGTTACAGAGATTTCTACTGTTACTGCGTAAGGCATTAGCTGCTTAAGACTGCCATTAAATTCCATGAGTTACACATTAACATACGAGAAATGATCAGAGCTGCGTGTATTTGACTGTTGGAGAATTCTACGCGTAAGTGAGTTTAATGAATGTTAGCTGTAGATTGAAATAAACACCTTGGGCCAGATCCTCAGAGAGTATAAATTGCTCCAGCTCTGATGTTAGTGGAGCTATGCCAATTTACATGAGCTGAGGAGCTTGCTCATAGTACAGTGTTGTACCTCCTAGAAATTCTGACACAACAATGTCAAGGCTGGAGTACAGGGGTATTTTGGGGTGGTCTCAGTGTATTACAATGTCATGTCTAGCACTAAATGGTGCTTTTTAAAAAAGAGCAAGCTATATAGGAGAGAGATAACTAACAGAACAAGGGGTGAAGACTGATACCACTGTATACTTCCATACAGGGCCGTCCTTACCCATACGCAAACTACACAGCTGGGAAGGGCACCACACAATTTGGGGCACCAAATTGCCCCAAATTTCCTGGTGCCCTAAGCAGCTGTGTGCTGCTCCAGCGGCCAGCCTGATCCCCTGGCTGGCTCAGCTGCCCCCGCCGCTGCCCCACCCCTGCCCCAAAGCCCCTGCCCCTGCTCTGCCCTAGCCTGCTTCTTCCCACCCCTGCTCTGCCCCAGCCGCACCCCCACTCCACCCCTTCCCCTGCGCTAAGTCCCGGGGGACTGCAGCAGGGTTCAGGTGTGCCCTGCACTCACCAGGTGGCGGGAAGTGGGGCGATCCAGCCTCAGCCCACCCTGCTCCGCCGGTGAGTGCTGCGGGGCGGTTCCCCCTTGCCCCCCAAGTCTCAACGCTGGGAGCCAGGGGAGCAGAGCGGAGTGGGTTGGGGCTGGGTTGCTCTACTTCCCGCTGCCCCCTGAGTGTGGGGTTGTCACGCCCTGCAATCACTGGGCAGCAGAAAGTGGAGCGACCTGGCCCCAACCCGCTCCACTCCACCGCCTTGCGCTGTTGGGTGGTTTCCCCCCTGCCCCCAAGCCTGCTCCTGCCCCCCACAGACCTTGGGCGCAGCCCCCCTCCTCCCACAGAGGCATGGGGATGGTACGGCACCACAATGTCTAGGGATGGCCCTGCTTCCATAGCTTTTGTAGGGGAAACCTTTTCTATTTTCCACAGCCATTGAGAACTCCAGACACACCACAAAGGGTTGAGGAGAGATTTGGGAGGCACAGTATGTGGGGTTTCTCTCAGCAGCCTTGAAGAATGGGGTTTGTGTAGGAAAGCCAGAGAAATGAGGGCAGAGCTAGTGGATCTGTCATATGATAGAATGTTTGTGTTCCACTCCTTGCTGTGACAGGAGGAGGTTGAGTGAGCTCACTTGGTTCAGTCCTACACTGCAGAAACTTGCCAAAGAGCCCTCCAGCTACGGCTAATTAGGAACAGGAAATAAAAGGAAGTGACAAGTTTAGCTACAGATCTGTATGGCTTCACTGCTATTGTTGTTCACGCTAGCAAGATCAAAGCTAGTTTGGGTATGCCTACGTGTACTGCATTCAGACCTTTGATTGCAGTGTATACATATGAGGAAGCAAAGACACTCATTCACGCTGAGAGTAATGAAACGGAGACAGACAGATTCAAAATGAAGGCAGGTGTGACTTCCGTCTCATTGAGAATGATGGGAGATAGCAGCCATTTTGAAAGAGGCAAATTTTTTGTGGAATTCTTTGTAGTAAACTATTGTATCATACAGACTCTAATGCAAAAAAAATTCAGTTATGAAGCATAATTGGAAAGAATTGCCATTAATTCTTTAAAAAAATTAGTGTATCCTACCGACAAGATTTCAGAGAGTTTAACTATAAGGGAACTTTGAAGAAACTGTTATTCTGTTACTGAGATCATTAGAGGCAGAAAAAGGTCTGACTGTGGGCGCTAAGTTTCTTAAAGGACCCATTTGTAATTAATTGTAATGACTAAACTAAGAAATTTGTAAACTCTGAGAAAATTTAAATTATTCAGAGTAAACGCTGGGATTTTGGGGAGGATATGTTGGATTTTTTTCATACATAACAGAGAATGGAATCCCTGCTTCGTGTGCAAAACTCAACACCACCTTAACTGTAGAGATGTTATTGCTACCTCCATAATGTTTATCATCTTGATATATTAATTTTCTCTTATTTTCTCTCTTGATCTTAAAAATTGTATTTGTAAAAGTTGAGATTTTGAGTTAATTGGCCTGAGTCATATCTGGTCACCAGATAGCTTGGCACACCATCCTAAATAGTTTTGAGACAGCAGCAATCTCTCACCAGATATGCATAGACAGTATCTTTATAACATTGTTAGTGCTTGTTCAGTATTTGATGTTTCATAATGCAACTTTAAAATGATACCATTCTGATTAATCACTGCCAAAAAAGTACCTGTAAACCACAAAAATGCTATGGCAAGTGTTTGCAGTTACAGTAAAATATTAACAGGTATCCTGTAAAACAGCAGCAACAAAACACTTTTTAAAAGTATTGGATTTTCTGTCATGCTAAATTTGTTTATTGAATAATAAAAATATGCCTATACAATGCTGTAGGTACTCTATAACTACTAATATTATAACAAAACTTGAGTAGCATTCTTCTTATTCTTTGATTTCCTGTCTTTCAGCTCAACAGTGGCAATGAAAGACTTAATTCAGCCTCCACCACATTTTATCTTGTTCCAGCTTTGTGACTTTGTTCATCTTTTAATGTTCTTCACTGCATCTATCCTACGCATCCTTCATCTTCCTCTATTTCTAGTTTCTTGTACTCTGGTATGTATCGCCATGTATGGTATCCTTCCTGGGTCTATTCTTGACATGTGACCAATCCATCTCAGTCATTTTTCTTTAATCGTCTGTAACAGTGTTATTTCTTGCCAGAGCTATTTTCTTGTATGTTCATTTTTTTATTTTCTGCAGTCCTGAGACTCTCAGTATTCCTCTCAGCCAGTTCATTTATTCAGTCAGATCTTTCATTCATCAGCTTTCCTCTACCTCAGCACTCTGACCCATACAGTAATATCGGCATGACAGTTGTCTCATATTTGCTGATTTTTGTTTTTATTGAACTGACTTTAGCCTTTTAGTCATTTAGCAGCATTAAAGTCTTCAAAAAGAACTCTGCCAGCCTGTACCTTTTCACCCCTTTCTCACTGTGGGGAAGCCCTCTCCAAAACCCCTGTCTTTTGAAGTTTGCTTGGAAGACCCCCAATTTGGTCTCCTTGAGACTGGGGAAAGGGTGGGGAGGGGGGAAGAAGTTTCACAATCTGAACCCTCACAGATAATGGTCTGCCAGCCACTCCCCTCTTTTAGATGAAGGGGAAATCCAGCTCAAACACCTCCGCTGACTACAGCTGTGGCAGTCTGGCATGGGAAGAGAGGTGATCTCTGGGGTAGGCCATGTATAGGTGATTACCAACACGTTAAACTCCACCAATGGGCAGTCAGTAGAGATCTCAGCGCACTGGTGTCCTACGTTCCCAGGGTGGTGCTCCGGTGAGTAACAAAGCCACTGATTTCTGTACTGACTTCAGTTTCTGTTTTAAGCATTTGAAGCATCTGGCACTGTCACTGGCCCCTACTGAAAGACAGGATACAGGCTAGATGGACCATTGGTCTGATCCACTATGGCCATTCTTATGTTCTTATGAGGGTGGTTAGGGATGGGCCAATGAGGCTGGGGTCAGAGATAAAAGCATTCCATATCTTTTTCTCAAAACTTGGCCTCTTTCTCCAACTGTTGGAGAAATATGCACATCCTTTTTCTGAAGTCTGGTTTTCAATCACAGGGTGAAGCTGAAGCATCAAAACTCAGGGAGGCTATTTTTGTGATGTTTCAGGTTCCTGACTGTAAGCAGAAGTGCCAGAAATCTTGTGAGCATTTTCTTGTGAGTTTTTCAGCCCATGTGTGCAGAGTCAGGAGGTTCAAATAACCTTTGACTAATCATCTAACCCTTTTGATATGCAATGGTAGAAAATAATTTGAAACATTCCTCTACTGTTGAGACCCCAATAAGGCTAAATGCTGATTGGTGCTTAATGGTGCCTGTTGATTTTTATGTCCCTTAACAACTCATGCAAGGAAATGGCCTTCTCCCATTTTCCATTCTGCTCCACTGCACTTTGAGCCTGGAATGCTCTGTATGGTATATGCTCTGAGTTTCTAGGAAGGGACATGGAACTTTACAAATAGCGTTTTCAGTTGAGCAACTCCACTAACAAAAAATAATAGTAGCAATTTCAAAGACTTAACATGGACCCAGTGGAACTGCAGACCTTCTTTTGATGAACGAGCATTTTCCAAGAAGACACTGGTAAAGGTTCTTACTATGAACAATAATATTTATAGCAGGGTTAAATTAAATTATGGAAAATACTGACAAGCAAAGTATGTCCAGGCAGTAATTATTTAGAAGAAATTGTCTTCCATCCTAGAAAACGGATGTTGGAGAATTTTATCAGTTTATTCATAAGGTTTTTTTCTGAGAACTAAATAGCTTGCTTGCTTTTTGCTTTGTTTTAATGCTTTTCCATAAGACGCCAGTTCTCGGGTGTCTCCATATGCCTTCATTGGCTGCTTCTATTTTTACATATCTTATTTAAGGTGCTGTTCTAGTCTGAAAAGTGACATTGTAACAATGGCACCAGCTGACTTGAATTATACCCACTGTGTGTGGGTACAGAGTCCAATCTGTTGACTTTAATGACAAATATTATATGTGGGGTGATATTTTCAAAAGTGCCTAAGACTTAGGAACGCATGACATGTCGACTTGTGCTCCTAAGTGCTTAGGTGCTTTTGAAAATGCCACCTTATCACAATTTCTTCTGTTGGCTTTGCAGATATGAGAAAGAATATCTTCAAATTTCACAGAGGCCCTCTGCTCTTGGGTGAATTTTACCCATTACAAAGCCAATGTGCTTTATGCAAAATGGAAAAGATTAATGA